GTGAGGGGATACGAGTGACATATCACACCAACACCCTTCAACGACATCTGCCTACAGAACAATCTGGTATGAACTCCACGCCAGGGAGTGGCCTTTCAAGACCCAACCAGCTGAAGCAATAATCTGGCAAATGGGCACAGGCATGAAACCCAACCTCAGCCAGATCGGCATGGGAAAAGAAATCTCGGTAAGTCCGGGATAGTGCCAGGTCCAGGGGACGAGGGGAGCAGTAGACACTGTCCCAGGCTTTTTTTCCCCCTGTGTGTTAAGCTCTCAAGTGCTTTCCCAAAGGGTAACGGAACAAGCACGCCCACAGCCTTGTCTTGTAAGGATTTGGAGCTTTGAAGGCAAAGGCTCAGAACTATGCCTGCAATTCAGGTTCCTACCATCAGTGGACGCAGTAGCACTCGGCCAGGTGTTTCCCAGCCATGGACTGCTGCTGAGTCAAGTAGAACCATTCATTAAAATATCACTGGTATTAACAATTGCAATTTTATTTGCATCTACATAAAAAAATTAAGGCCTTATCCAACTCAGAACAAGATATACGGAAACAGAGAAGCCCGAGTATAAATTAATAAACATCCTCTAAAACATAACACAAAGAGTCCCCTGTTTTGATCAGAGACAGATGAGTCAGGGAGTAATTGTCTAGAATATTCCTGCCTGTGAGTTTCCTTTCTTAGGTGAGAAGATTACTAAAAGTCATTTTCCCTTCTATGACTTTGAAGGGCACTTATAGTATTGGGATGTGGAGAGAGGCCTCAGAATTCCCTTTTCTCCCTCCCTGTTAAGAAATATGCTCAGAAACTTCTTGAGAAGCATTTTATTGATCTCAGTGTATCCCAGGCCTTCTAGAATAGGGCTTACCTAGTCTGCTATATGGCCTAGAAAGTGGATGAGTAGAAGGATGGATGGATGGATAGACGATGGATGAAAAATGCATGAATTTAGATGGATAGAATTTAGATCCATAATGGATGGATGAATGATGGGTGGTTGGATGGGTGGGTGGGTAGATGAGAAATGCATGAATTTAGATGGATAAATGGGTATATGAAGGGAGGG